AAATTAAAGGTCTTTTATTTTTGTTTAGTGGCGAAAATTGAGTTTCTGTGTTTCTGTCAGTTTGAAAGGATGTCGTTGCTATTTTTAGCACACAAGGGTCGTGACCTTTCTCTACCGGCAGGCATATCCGGGGTTGTTTACGAAAAGGTGGGAGTGGTGATTGGACACACTGCGACAACAGTAGGACTGGTTCAATGTTCGAAACGTTTGGACTTTTAAAGATGATGGAAGGTTCAACCGCCAAATCTTGTGAAGTTTGTAACACGCAAGAGTTCTGTGGATGCTGAAGTCGTTTTAGGAATCTATTATGTGAGATCCAAGATATTTGAAGCCCTCAACTCTTTTGATGGATGTATTATTGAGTGACTTCAACTCCGACTGTGGCTGTGATATATTCTGTTTATATAAGCGCCAAATTCAAAACCAAACTTTTTTTTTTACTCCACCACGTTACGCAGAAAATACGAAGCAGACCGCACCCTTCACCACAAGTCCCAATATCCGGCAGCAGGATACGAAACATCGGACCCGACAACCACGAGAGAAATTACTACTCTCTAAATAAGAGAGTCGTGGTTTGAAAGGGACCTCTTATTCAACAATCTTTGCTGACAAGATACTCAGACACAATTTCTCCTAAGTTAAATTCGAAGACACACATTGCAAATACATTGCATATTAAATACAGACTGTCCATAAAGTTCGTGTGCGCTTTTAAAAATTTATAACTTTATTTGTATTTGCGATAGAAATAATTTGTAAAAAGGATTAGAAAGAAGTAAATCTATATTTTTTAAGGTTTTATTGAAATTTTGTTTAAGTTTCCACATGTTCTCCATCATTAGCAAATACAAAGGGTAATACGATTTTGCAGTTCACGGAAAACATTTGCCAACTGATTTACAGTAATGCCTGAAATCACATTAGTTATTTTAGCTATACTTAAAACTAGGTACATTAAACTTTATAACATTTTTTACAGATTATTTCTATCGCAAATACAAATAAAATTATAAATTTTTTAAAGTGCACACGAACTTTATGGACACCCTGTATATCTAAAGAGTACAGGTTGTTCTTTCTTTTCAAATGCTGTCATTCACTTCGTTTGAGCGCATGAGGCTTATCACTAAACCGCTATAAGCTCGGACTTGTGTCGTAACGTACTGTCGTAGACACAGACCAAATCAAAAGCCGAGCAAATAAGGGTATAATACAGTACTTCTTCAATTATCCGTACCCCGATTTTCCGGACTTCATTTATTAGGATGTGAAATGAAGAGGAAAGTTTTTCAATTATCCGAACTAAACCCATTCAAATATTTTATCTCAGATATAGTAATATTAGCTCTTTCCTTATAAGGAAACATTCAGCATTTATTGACCGAGCAGCCTATTCATAAAACTTTCTATTAAAATAATTTTTTCAGGGAGGCTAACAGATGATGTTCGGGGTCCAAGTTTATAAAAGCAACCATTTTTTTCAAAATCCACTTTAAATTATAGTCTTTAGTACCGTTGGGAAAATATCGTCAACTTAGGTAGACCTATCGTTGCGGTTGTGGAAATATTAATAAATTAGGCAGAAGAATTTAATATTAACACATGAAGAAGCACACCCCATTCTGCTTGGTAGCAATTGTAAAGTACTCCCCGTGGTACATTAGTGGAGTGAAAATCTCATAAACTAGGAGGTGATAGGTTCGACTATCATGCGTTTCATACTACTCCCGAATCTTTTGAACAGAAGAAGAGGTTTATCCATTGTTTCTTGTTTTGGGTTTCCGGTTCCTTCTAAAGTCTACTTCAACTCTATACTTCTAAAATCTCTACCTAAACTCTGAAATGTTATTTATTGATTTCCTTTCTTCAGTAGGAGTAGATAGGTTTTTTGAATAGGAGTAGAGGTTTATCCCTTGTTTCCTGTTTAGGATTGGGTTTCCTGTTCCTTCTAAAGACTATTTCAACTCTATACTTCTAAAATCTCCACCTAAACTCTGAAATGTTTTTTATTTATTTTCTTCCTTCAGTAGGAGTAGATAGGTTTTTTGAATAGGAGTAGAGCTTTATCCCTTGTTTCCTCTTAAGGATTGGGTTTCCGGTTCCTTCTAAAGTCTACTTCAACTCTATACTTCTAACGTCTCTGCGTAAACTCTGAAATGTTATTTATTTATTTTCTTCCTTCAGTAGGAGTAGATAGGTTTTTTGAATAGGAGTAGAGCTTTATCCCTTGTTTCCTCTTTAGGATTGGGTTTCCGGTTCCTTCTAAAGTCTACTTCAACTCTATACTTCTAACGTCTCTGCGTAAACTCTGAAATGTTATTTATTTATTTTCTTCCTTCAGTAGGAGTAGATAGGTTTTTTGAATAGGAGTAGAGCTTTATCCCTTGTTACCTCTTTAGGATTGGGTTTCCGGTTCCTTCTAAAGTCTACTTCAACTATATACTTCTAACGTCTCTGCCTAAACTATGAAATTTTATTTACTATTTATTTTTCCTCATTAAGAGTAAATTGATTCGCTTATTGTCCAGTTCACACTCTTCCCTCAACTTTTGAATAGGAGTAGAGGTTTATCCCTTGTAACCTGTTTAGGATTGGGTTTCCGGCTCCTTCTAATGTCATGTCTTTATCTTACACTGAAATAGCCTCTAGTGTCTTAATGGTTTTATTATCTTGATTGGGGGAAATTGATGGAAATATAAATCATTTCCGTTAACACACCTCTTTTGTCTGAGTATATAATCCAGAGTGGAAACAGACTTCTTTACTCAACAATTCCAAAGCTTGACTCATCAGAAAGGAATGACATCTCAGATTCTTGTGTTTTCAATCAAAGATTTTGCCCACACCTTTTCCTGAATTCCCAACATCCAAAAAAAAAATATCTGTATACCTTACAAAAATGATCTATGCATACTAGTTGTGATATGAGAAAAAAATCCTGTTTATTAATGCCAAACTCCCCAAAATGGTACAGTGAGCATTAATGGGTCATCATCTTTTATCTACTGCTGCCCTTCAAAAAAGTGGGTGATTTACAACCTCTTGTCTGTTTGAGCTCTAAACAAAGTCTGTTTTTCTGTCACTTCTTGTCCCTACTGTGCCATCCATTCACGCAAACACATCCCCTCTGACTCTACTTCCAACAATACGTCTTCTGGGTATTAAATCTGCCAAACTGTCCCTCTTTAGAAAGTATGTCTCTTTCTGGTTTCAAATATGAGTGTCCTTCTAGCGTCCATTTTCTTTAAAACTTCTTCATTACTCACATGTTCAGTCCATGGTATTCTCAGCATCCTTCTGTAGAGCCACATATTCGTTACTTTGAGTCTCTGCTTCAGCTGTAAAGAAATTTTCCAGTATTCACTGTCATATTTCTAAATAGTTACGACATTGAATTTCAGTATTTTGTCTTTGTTTCTGACGAAGTTTCTCTATTTCTTAGTACTTTGGTTTCCTTTTTTATAAGTTCACCTAAAGCGAGGCCCGAGAGCCACTCATGGTAGACGGTTATTGAATGAAGTCGGTGGCATGAATTAAAAAAAAAGGTAGCAGGAACTAAATATCACGAAGATAAGGAGGATAGATATTTTGACCCTTGACTTCAAGAGGTTATGACTGTAGCGACCAGGGGAGCATTCATGCGGGAGTCTGATTCACAATTTAGCCCTTTTCAGGAAAAAGCTGAGTGAAACTTTCTCCTTTCATTTGGAATACGGGGGAAATGTGGGTGGTTCGATTATGCGAAAGCAGCATAACGTGTTTTAGCTGTAAACGTCAGAATTGGTGGAAGTGAAGAACGAAGCTCATCTGAACAGCTGTCATGGAAATAGTAATAATGTAGCGATAGGCTTGCAACATTGCATCTATGGGGAAAGAGGTTGTAGAGTGAGAGATAAGTCACCCCTACAAGACGGTGTAAATGATTCGGAAATCTCTAAGCTGGAAAGGGAATAACAGTGGACTTGAGAAACCTGTTTTTCCTGAAAAATTGTTCTAATAGAAAGATTTTATAAATGTCAACTGTTTGGCCAACGAATGCTGAATGTATGAATATAAGGAAAATAGCTAATTACCTGTGGAAGGCTGGTATTCACGATTGTAAGCGTGAGTGTCAGGTGAACAAGGGGAGATAATCAAGCATAAACACCCCTCTTTCTAATTAAAATGAAGCAGGTTTTCTATTTGGTTAAAAACTAAATTTCACCTAATACAAGGCTCAAGAGCTACTTCAAGTTGAGGGTTAAAATTGAAATAGTAATGATGAGGTGTGAGGTATGAGTGGAAGAGGAGGTTGTAGGAAGTGAAGATTATGAGAATAAGAAGGCTAAAAAAACAACTGACCTTCGACTTGAAAAGATTAAAATGTTCAAAGAAGACAGAAACTGTAGCAGTTTTTGCGAAAAAGCTGAGTGGAACAACCTTGTTATATTTTGGAATAAGGGGGAAATAAGGGTGATTTGAGTCTGCGGAAGTAGCATGACGTGTCCGAGAAGTAAACATCTGAAATGGTGGAACTAAAGAATGGGACTGATCTTAACATTTACCATACAATAAGCATTGCATCTATGGGGAAAGAGGAGGTAGAGTGGAAAACAAGATATCCGCTATAGGACAGCGTAAACGATTTTGAATTATATTTGGAAGGCGCCCTTGGCCATCACGAAGCGTCTTCGGTTTTCTGTTATATTTTTCGTTTTTATTTTTTTTATTAATAAACTGAGAAACCTATAATTAATAAGGATATTTTAGAAACCTATAAATAGTAAGTGAATTTTAGAAACCTATGACTAATAAGGGAATTTTAGAAATCTATAATTAATAAGGGAATTTTAGAAGCCTATGACTAATAAGGGAATTTTAGAAACCTATAACTAATAAAGGAATTTTAGGAACCTATAATTCATAAGGGAATTTTAGAACCCTATATCTAATACGGTTCTCATTTTACCGGAATTTTGTTTCTAGTTTTATAATTAATGCTCTATTTTTCAGCGGCTTACGGCCGCATCACGTCGAAACTTCGGTTCCCGTGCGATCAACGAAGTTAAGAAACATCGATCCCCGTCAGTACTTAGCTGGGTAACCGCTTGTGAATACCAGGTGCTGTAAGGCTGGATGTGCATGTTGGATGGCTTACAGCTAAATCACGTTGAAACAAGTTGTACAATTATCGAAGTTAAGCAACGTCGATCCTTTTCGTACCTAGATGGGTGACTGATTGGAAATAGCAGGTGCGCAAGATTGGATGTGCAGGTTGGATGGCTTACAGCTAAATAACGTTGAAGCACCAGTTTTGTACGATCGCCAAAGTTAAGTAACGTTATGTCCGGTCAGTATCTAAATGGGTGTCTGCTTGGGAATACCAGGTGCTGTAAGATTTGATGCGCAGGTTAGGTGGCTCCCGGCCACTTCACAGCAAAACAACGGTTCCCGTGCGATCACCGAAGTTAAGCAAGGTCGACCTCTGTCAGTAACTAGGGAATACCAAGTGCTGTCAGATGAAATGTGCGTGTGGTGTAATGGTTAACGAACCTTTAATTGGAGAGGCATGTTCCAATTCATTTATGCGCAAATACCCTTGGGAAAGGTGTGACTCCACCATTTCTCCCCCAGCTATGGAGTAATTTGTAAAACTTCTTTCATTTTAACAATTATTATCTCCAAAAATAAAACAAAATTGCGTATAAAATATTTAGATTTCTGCATTGAATAACCCACAGAGGTGTTGATATGCCGCTAAACCAAAACAACCAAACAACCAACCGTGTTTTACCAACTCTTTGCATAGACGGTAAGTCCTCACTTAACGTTGTTTCTTTAAAACTTGAGGGGACAATATAAAATAAAAGTAAATATTGTAAAATAAAATGTCTTAAAGCGTGCAAAGATTATATAAAAGTACACTACACACGGTGCGGTACAAAGACGTTTAGCAAACACTACTGCAATGGCGCTATACAGTATTTACCATTGTCAGATTTTAATTCAAAGATACTATTTTCCACTTTCACATTGTAAATACTTATCTCTTGTGCTGTGTTGGGGATGTTATTATTTATCTTTCAACTATTTTACAGCAATATTCTTAGAACGCATTTCATTCAAGATAAACGTCCCGCAATGTGTTGAAAGGCTGTGTCTTCACGTGTAGCCTTTGCTAGTGTTGTCGTTTCAGTAATACTGAAAGTTTGAAGGAGCCATCTTATCTACGAGATGCGTTCTAGAAGTTTTGAGACTTTTTTCAGGGGAGACAATTTCAAAGTACAAAACCCTAACTTCCTTCAAAGTAGGATTCCCCTGACTTCAATGAATTTGTAGCGCTCCAGCAACTTCGTGAAGACCCCATTGAAGTCATCTAAAGTAAAGGTGTCCAGGACCTTTGTCACAGCCTCCTTCATCTTTTCAGTTTCTTCAAAACGTCTGCCGCTGAGATTCTCCTGGGGAGCAACTAAAAGTCACAGAGAGCAAAGGTCTGGACTGAGAAGGTAGCCAGGACCCTTATGACAGCCTCTTTCATCTTCTCAATGTCTTCAAAATGATTGCTAGGAACGCGAAATGTGTCCATGAATTCCTGGTGTCGGCTGGAAGGGCAGTCAGAAGCGATTTCGGTGTCACTGGTCGAAAGGCGCTTAAACGACGCATAGCGACGTGTGTTTCGTTCTCAGATGAGAAGATGAAGAGCTGATTTCCTGATTCAAACTTGGTCTGGTCGCAATCAGTGGCTAAAGAAGTTTTCGAACTGCTGTTAGTTTTAGAGTTGGGCCGGAAATTTCCAGTCGAAATCTTCGAGTTAGTTTTTTTCTTGTGAGGCCCTCTTTTTTGTTGGATGACTAAAACAAACAAAGAAAACAGTAAAGTAAATTTGACATCTTGTCGGAGATTCAAACTTTCGCAATGTCTATGGCAAACTATAGAATCTACCATATTTGGTGATTTATGCTAATATTTTCCAAGGAAATTTTAGGATCGTTTTCTGATAAGACAAAGAAGGTTAAATTGGAAGTGAATTTGATATTAATTCTTATCCCTCACAACAAATAAGCAAAGTTTGTTTCTTATTAATTACGATGTGTATTCCAGAGGTTTTGAGACTTTTTATTAAGGGGGAGACATTTATTAATTTCAAAGAATTACAAAACCCTCATCTCCATCAGAATGGGATCCTCTGACTTCAATGTATTTATTGTAGTGCTCTAGCTTGCTATGGTCCGGTTCCTTGTACCACGGTGATAGTCCAAGGTAGAACTAATAAAGAACTCGAACACGGATATGGAATAACACAGATATATTACAAACAGGAATATATACAGAAAAGTAGAAAGTGTTAGTACGAACAATCAGGTTTAGTAGAGAGAACAATGTAGTCTCGACCAGTATCACTATTCCAATACCTTGTAGTAATTGTCTGAACGCGACTCTGTTCGGACTGCCTCTGACCCGACTGACTGACTCGCTCTCTCTGACTGACTGACAGACTCCTGACGGACTTCACTCCAGACTTCAGACTGAACAGTATTTAATCACCCCTCCACGAGGGCATCTTGTGGCAGAAGGCCAGTTTAACGTGGGATCTCCGAGCCCGTGGGCTCGGCTAAAAATATGCCCTTTGAACCCATATAAACGGTTTACCTCCCCGAAAGAGACTAGGCCCTTCGGCGTAGCCTCGTTCGGGTTCCTCCCCGCCCGAAGGCAGAGAGTTCAACCGATCAGCTGGTCAGCCGGTCGCCCGACTTCGGACTGAACTCCCTGCTTCCTCTTGAGGTGCAGTATTTATTACGTATGGAATAGTCCATTATGTTATTATGGGTAAGGTTCCATAACATAGCCAATGCGTGAAAACCCAATGGAAGTCATTCAAAGTAAAGGTGTTCAGAACCCTTGTCACAATCGCCTTCATATTCACAATGTCTTCAAAATGTCTTCTTCAGTTTGGGGAACAACCAAAAATCACGGGGGGTGGGGTGGCAAAGTCTGGTCTGTAGGGGTGGGTGAAGGACAGTTTTGATGATCATCAACCATCTCCCTGCTGTCACCAACACGTCTTTCCTTCTGTTCGTTATTGAACACCCCGGGTAAGAAACTTTGCAAATATTTTGCGCATGTTAAGCTCTTCGTGAAACATTCTGTGTCCAGTTGCCACACCAACTCGAAACTGTAGGCTTATTGTCTTCAGGGACATATGACGATCCCCATTAAGAAAATTGCGAATTTTCTTAACCAGCTCTGATGTTCTGATATCCACGTCCACATTGTCTTCCTCCCACATCGCTCATTGCCCACAACACGCTCTCCACCGACCTTGAACTTCTTGTGTCAGCGGAAATCAGATGCTCGGCTCATACAAGGCAACCCGTTAGCATTCTGGAGCATTTCCTACATTTCTGTAGCATTTTTAACCAGTTTAGCACAAAACTTTATTGCATAGCGAGCTTCAAAATTGTCTTTACGTCCTGACTGCATTGTACAAACTTGTCCGCTGTGACAAGCAGTGTTTACGTGGGTTTACGTGTTCAAAGAGCTTTTACAACCGTCTTCTTCACTCTGGAATAACAAAAGTTGGTAAGTCAACTTATTAGGTGTAGAGTACCGTATTTTCCGGCTTACAAGACGCACTTTTTTTTCCTAAAAAATACCCTGAAAAATACGTGTACGTCTTCCAATACCAATGTAAGGCAACGTCCAGGCTCAAGTAAGCTTGGACGGTCACCTAATTGGCTTGACTGATAGGGACGTGAATTTGTATGTTGAGTCATTACACCACAATGTTAGCTATAGCTATCTATCTAATTCTGCCTTTTATATGATGTGATTTCAGTACTTAGCTGTTACAAGTATTCCTAAGACTATAATTCTTCCTGGAGCCGAGCCACAAGCTTAATCATGCTCTGTTTACTAGCAGCGGCAGGAGCCTTTCTGTTCTTGACTAGTATGTCATTGCTATACAAACAAAATCGAACGAGGGCCTACTATAAACATGGCGTGTACGTCTTCCAAGACCAATGTAAGGCAACTTCCGGGCTCAAGTAAGCTTGGATGGTCACCTAATTGGCTTGACTGATAGGGACGTGAATTTGCATGTTGAGTCATTACACTATAATGTTAACTATAGCTATCTATCTAATTCAGCCTTTTATATGATATGACCTCAGTACTTAGCTGTTACATTATTTCTAAGACTATAATCCTTCCTGCAGCCGAGCCACAAACTTAAAACATGCTCTCTTTACTAGCAGCGACAGAAGCCTTTCTGCTCGTGACTAGTATGTCATTGCCATACAAACAAAATCGAACAAGATGCTTACTATAAACATGGCGCCAGTGTATGAGGGATGCATGGTGAATGTGTTGTATGAGAATAACTTTTTTTCTTAGAAATTTCTTTCCATTATTAGGAGGCGTCTTCCAAGCCGCAGCATCTTGTAAGCCGGAAAATACGGTAATTATTTAATACAACTACAATAATTTAGGAAAGTTACAATTGCCCCTTCCAAAAATGTCTACAAACTTCTTGAAGGTATCTCGAATGTTCTGCGAGCGATATCGGTTGAGGTGTCGTTGCTTGAAAGTCTTGTTCATTCATAAAGTGCATAAGATTAATTGAGATATTTTTTTTGTTATTTTTGCTTCGGTGAAATGACAAAGAAAACATGAATAAAAAACAAAATAAATGCAAAATATACTCTAAGACTATAGCTAGATACTAACAGACTGAGATAGATGGGCGAAGTTTAATTTAGGACCATGCAAAGGACGGGCAGGACAAAGGGTCTGTCTATTAGTGTATGCTCCTTCCGTAATGTTTGTTTGCAAAAGCTTTGTTTTAGAACTCTAATAAAACCCAAACATCATATGAAACTGAATTTATACATTTTCTTCTCGAGAAATGATGACAGAAATGTTAAACATTATTTATTTATGCCTTTGTTTATGTTGGTAGCAATTGGTTTAGGAATGACTGCATAAACACCCCACTCCCCAAATTTATAGACAAAACATACAGATGCATTCTGGGATATTTTGCTAGCCAATAAGTTTGGCCACTTCTTTATTTTTGTTTTGCTTTATGACTGTCTTTTGCATTATTTTTGTTTTGCCTTATGACTGTTGCTT